CCCAAAATGCCCATCAAAAGCATTATTTTTAACATTTATAAGGAAACTGCTCCGATAGATGCATTCAACATACCTGCACATTGGCGATACCTGCCTTAAAAATTGTGCGACTAGTATCAATTATCAATGAAAGTATTACGTTTACCTGCACTGGCTCTACAATTACCTAATTTTACAACCTTTTATTTATTGTGCTAATCTCGCAGAACAACGAAAATGGCTATCAATTTATGTAGTTATATAGATAATTAGATAACATTCGGTAAAAATTTCGCTTGCAGTAATTTCAACATGGTAAGTGCTCCGCCAATATTTGGTTTCATAGGGATTCGGATACCTTCCTCATTGAAGTAGTAAAGAAAATTCGCTTAAGTGCCTTTTCGGTTACGTGCACAAGTTTTTCGTGCAAAGAAGGATGTGCAGCTAAGCAAAATATACTGTACTTAAAAATGACAAAATGTGTATGGAAACGAAATTTTTTTTTTATATCTATCTTAATTATTGGTCATAAAAAGCTCATCGGTAGCTATCGGAAGCTAATTTTTGTGCAGTATACTATCAAAGCTCCATTCTATAGAACGCAACTAGTAATGTAACGTGGAAATGCATGGAAGTATAACTAAAAGCTTACGGTTTACAAAGTAATGAAAAAATAATCACTAAAAAAATATAATATTTCCGATAACTGATATTATTACTTAGATTAAATTTTGCTAAATCGAAACTATTTAAAATAAATGTAGATTTACCTGTGTCTTCAGACTTCATAACAATTTTTAATTGTATAATGACCACAATAATAATAATCACTTTTGAACGCAACACAAGGAATGTCGTAAAATAAAACGTGCACTATCACAAACTGACAAGTTCCGACTGAGATACTCCGTCAAAGTGGCGTCATAAGTTCTTGGTAGGGGTTGCCTATTGTTCCGCAATTATTCAACTGTGGCAGGTAGTATTTTTTTTGTTCCTACGATAAGTTTAAAAAAAGTAGACTTATAACCGCCTAGATCGATCAAATACCCCTATGTGCGACGTTATGAAAAACAAATCGCCAATTTTTTTTTTATTAAATTCATATAATCAGCTTAAAAATCTTTTATTTTAAATATGAGATCTTGTTATAACATAATTTTTAAAACCAAAAACGAATATAATGCCTTCAGGATAATAATAAATAACACAAATCACTTATATGATTCATTATTTTAAAAAATGCATACTTTAAAAAATATTTGTATTAACACATTTCCCAATAGGCACAATTCGCTTAAATAAAATAAAAGCCATAATAAGGTGAGATCAGCTAAATTTTTACGCGCTAATATCCAAAAAAAAATCGCCAAATTGGCGCTAAATGCCCAAATCTGGACACGTACGTATACGAACTGCGACGCTGGCGTTGCTCGCGAGCAAAAATTGCCAACCATCCACATTAGGTCAAATGGTTCATTTGGCTGTGCGAAAGTCCAATTTCTTAAAGGCAGTTTTACATATTTTTTTGTTACCCTGTAGGGAATGCTCCAAAATTACAGAAACTTCACTTTGTTTTTGTAAAATAGAAACCACCGTTAGACAGCAATCAAACAAAGTTACACTTTCAAAACGTTATTGACACGTTGTTTGCGCAACCGGTTTATTTCTTAAGTTTAAAGTGGATTTTTTTTTGTAAAATTCGAATAATTAAAGGAAAATGTTTAATGGAAAACAAAAATATAAGTGAGAACATGTGTCCTAATTTAAAAAAAGTGACTTTTTATAATTTGTTTGCAAAAAAATCGGACTTATTTGCATAACCTCAAAAATTGTATGATTTATTTCCATTTATGATTTTATGTAAGCTTTTACTATTTTGTTAACTTTTGGCAAACAAAATGGAAATGGAAATGGATAAACTGGGATGTAGTGAGTTGATCTTATTTTACTTAAGCCGCCGTTTTTGGCCGTTTTCAAGAAAAACAGTTTTTTCTGGGCTATCATGCTATGTATTACAAAAGGCGAGATGTTTGTAGTTTAGCTGATTGGATGTTCAAATAAAGAAAGGCTTTCTTCGGTTGTCAACCATGTTGAAAACCAAATTTGGTGCTGTTGCTATTTGCGAAAGTTTCATGAAACTCTTAGAAGAAAAAACGCGTATTTTTTGCAATTATTTATCAAACAAAGACGAAAATTATGGAATTATTATTGCGTTTCTTACTGATGGAGTTGTTTTAGAAATCAAAGCCAACTGTGACGACCAGCAGCCGGATTCTAACTTTCGCTATCGCTAAAATATATAGAATGCGAAAGCTAACATTTTATTCGAATTTTTGGTTATCCCCAAAAATTGCGGTTCTGTCCTCCCTTTCGCTAAAAATAACTAAGCCTAAATTTTAGTATTTTACCCGGCCGCAAGTGGTGCTGTACAACAACAGCAGCTAAGGTTGTCAGACGTACTGATTTTATCAGTACAGTACTGATCTTCCAACTCTTGTACTGATTTTATTCATTTCTTCAATCAGTACTCTAATGTCTTGATTTTTCAAAATTTGTACTGATTTGTACTGAATTTTCAATTCAAACAAAATGCTTTAGGATTTTCTTAAGGTTTTTACATAACGTTGGAACTTCCGTAAACTGGACTAAAAAAAATAAGAAGAAAATAATTTAATTATAGTTGACACGTGTTAGATAATGTTTGATATGCCCAAGAAATTAATACAACAAAAATATCAATCGTTTTATGGGCATGTCGCCGGGTCGTTACGTACCGTAGTTATCTCAAAAATAACTTTCAGTTTAATAACACCAAATTTGAATATTCAAATGGCTTTTGCCTATAACTTACAATTCCTTTTTTCAATTTACTGACTTTGTAAAAGAGTTTTGCATACAAGACATAGGGCTGGTTTCTACAACTCATCTTAACTTAGTTTAGTCAATTATTGGACTTAGTCAAGAATAAGCTGATTAAAACGTAGGCTAATTTTTGGCTTAGCCTAGATGGTGAATATGACCATGAATATGAGTCCAAAAAATGGCTAAACTAAGTTAAATTGAGTTAGAGAAACCCAGCCATAGAGTTAGATACTCTTTTTAGCGAGTTCTTAGCCTTTCACGGTTTTTGCGTAGTTTAAAAAATTATTTAAGCAATGAGGAAATATACATGAAGTCTTTAAAAAATGGTACTGTTCACAATTTGAAAAAATACTTCATTTTGTTTTTTTTTTCAATTCCACACTCAAACGAAGCAACTGAGAGGATCTTAAGAATAAAGTTTGTTTTCTGGCCTAAAGAGGGAAATCGGCTTCTATTTAAAATTTTTTAAAGTGAACTTCAAATTAGAAGTAATTTTGAAATGTATTGAGTTCTTTGACTAAATATTTAAACACTGAAAATGGGAATGATCTCATTATTGCTATTCAAAAATGTAATAAATATAAAATAATTTATCTGCCCTTGTGTATAATGGTGTGCACACTCATTTTAACATGATACACTTTTAATTATTATGCACTATATTTATATTGTTGAAAACAAGAACTCTGGAGTTGTAAAGTATTTTCTGTTATTTACATTCATAATTTGTACGACAGTTTGTTGATTTTTAACCGACTTCCAAAAAAGGAGGAGGTTATCAGTTCGTCGGAATATTTTTTTTTTATTATAACTTTGGACCACGTCAACCGATTTCGATGCATCGGGGGTAGTGTCTCAGAGGTGGTCCCATACTAATCTGGTTTAGATCCGATCATTGGATCATGAGATATTTATATATATATATTTTTTTTATGAGAATTGAAGTCGGTTTTTTTTTGCTAAAAATTACTTGTTTTTTTATATTGCACAAAGTTGGAAACTTGGATTTATATGGGTTTGTTAAATAATGAACTATATTTTTATAAAAAAATACCAAAATTAAATAAGAACAAAAATAATACGTTAAAACTTGGCAAAAAGTGGTTCGGCTATAATTTTTTGACCACTGTATTTATTTTTTTTATATATTTAATTACACTTTACACTTGCACATTGTACATAAAGGAAGTACAGACAGGCGGAGCCGAACATTAAATACCCGACGCAAGTATTAAATATATGATTTTTATTTTTGAAAATTATCGTTAAATGGGAAGTGGGCGTGGTTACAGTCCGATTTCGCCCAATTTTCAATACCAACCTTCCTTGGATAAATAGAAACCTACATACCAAATTTTGTTGAGATATCTCAATTTTTGCTTTAGTTATCGTGTACACGGACGGACGGACAGACAGATCCGAAGAACTGATAACCTGCTCCTTTTTTGAAGTCGGTTAAAAATTAGCGATGCTTCCAGTTTTTTCAACAGACCTTTGACAAATAATATTCGATATTTACATAATTCTTACCTAATTAAAGGTTACCTTTTACTGCGCAAATTGTCGATTATCTTTATAGCTAGACATTGAAAATTTCCGCTGGAATTACCTATTGAAGGATCTTACTCTCTGACTTTACAAAAGAAGGAGGCAGTTTTAACGTAGCATCTCCACAGGCAAAAAATATTGGCTAAATTTATCATTTTGTGTGCCAAATATACGTTTTATCAGTACAATTGCACAATATTCGTGTTCGCAAAAGATCCGCATTGATATTTGCGAATGCGAATGTTAAAATTAATGCGGAAGCTAAGCGGTTGCGAATGCGAATAATCGCAACAACCCTGGTACATACACACACATTTACGAAACCGCAAAAGTAATTCTGATTGTCTTATGAGTATGCGTTTACAAGCACAAACAAACAAACATACATATACGCTATGCAATTAACCAACAATGCCAATTTTTAATTAATCCGCACATTTTTCCATTTTTCTTCTTTTCCCCTTTTTGTTGCCACTTTTGAACTGTAAATACCACGAACACGCGTTGTCGCCACGTCCGCATCGTCGACATAAATTTAAAATCCGCATCAAAAAACAAATTCAATCGAATTCGCATCGTTGTTTCTCAACGCATCTGCTGCCGTCACACAGTGTTGTAGCTCAGATAAGCAGCCCTCCGCAACTTGCGGTGGCCGATCCAAATGGTAATCATGATTCTGGTTATGCACCCTCAAACGTTGACGATGTCCTTGCAGGCGCAGCCGCTGATTCATCGCCGCCGGATAGCCCGGAGCCTAGTGGGACGTTGAAGCGGTCAAGCGTGAGCAGCAGCCGGCGCAATACCGCAACTGGTGATTCACCCACCAAACGGGAGCCCGCACTCAGGTATAGCACACCCTTAAGCACATAACCATACCTATAGGACATATTAGGGTGTCCTTTATTTCCTAAGTTGGCTTTTTTCTTTAATAACTTTGGGGAGTAGTGTTTTTATCGAAAAAATCAAATAAAACTTTTTTTGTAGAGCGTTCAATTTTCAATAAAAATATACATTGGTCATTGCAGACGGACACCCTAAGGACACATACAATACATATACATAGATATATATAGACATACCTCACGCTCATTCCACGTCCTAATGCTTCTCCAGCAAGTTCTGCCCAGTATTTCCGTCCTGTGGTCTTTATAGGTTATTCATACAAAAAACCATACCTACATTAAATGTTCACCAAGTTGCGTTGACACTTAAAATTTATTAGCGATTAAGTTTCTATTTTGCATTTTTCTTCCAACTTACCCGTGATATTTTCCCTGCTTTCGGCCGTATACGTATGTAAACATGTATACGTAACTGATGACAACTTGGCGCCCACAGTGTTGCCATGAAACCGCTGTCCTATGTCCGCTATGGCGTTCAAGAGGCGATGACGCTGGCACGCAATGACTCCACCCTCTCGGCTACATCGAAGACATCTTCTCGGAAAGACAAGAAAAACTCGCAAGCGTCAAGGTAAGTAGAAGCCAGTTAAGCCAGTTACAGGTGACTATTCCATCATACCTCGCGAGCTCTTTAACGACTAGCGCGGCGGTGTTGGCGTAGCCATCGGCTTCCAAGTACTCCATAATTAAAAGTTAGTAAGCACCGAAGCGTAGTTAACACCTTGTTGCATAAATTTCCACTCTAACGCTTCCATATTTCCACTCACACTTCCTCGGCTCGGGCCATTATTCACAGAAGAGTTATATTTTAACTTTAAATTCTAAATATTCTTTGTCTTTTTTGTCTATTCCATTAAATTTGTGGTTATCGCTGCGACTGTTGCTAACCACTGCCATCTGGTATCGCTGGGCTGCTTCCACGTGCTGCATTTTCTATCTATGTATCAACTACATTGTGGCATGCAAATTGGCTTGAAGCAGATTCACGATTTACAAAGTCCACAAAGCTTCGAAAAAGAAGCGCGAAAAGTCGTCCGCGAAGAAAGAACGTAAAGCCACCAAAACGCTCGCAATCGTTCTGGGTAAGTAGAACTAAAGGAGGTTGCCGTCGAGATGGGCAAACAAACTTTTCAACTAAATGCAGGGGCGCACCCAGGAATATATTTTGCGAGAGGTTTATACTTCAGAAAATTTGCTTCAGATAATATGCTTGTTAAAGTACATTTATGCAAGTTTTACACAAGAAATGGAAAAGAAATTTTCTCCTATCAAAATTTCTGAAATCAGTTTGTAGCTATCAAGAAAAAAATGCTCGTATCAAGGCGAATTAATATAAGGTGATAGCAGGAGTACAAAAACAAAAATTTGCATGTTTTTGCTTTGGCGGCATAAACTATGGAAATCTTTAAGTGTGTGTGTGAAAATTAAAAAAAAAAAAATTAATTTTGACATTAGAAGCCGTACGGCGAAACACAACACAAAATCAGCTGATCTAGTAACCCCACCTTATATAAATTCGCCTTGGCTCGCATATTCAAATATTTCTTCAACAATAAAAAGTATTTCTTGTGATTTTTCTTGAGAGCTGGATTCTAAGCTTTAAGATACAGTTTGTATTTGAGGTTATTAGCTTTAGGGGGGGTTTGACTCTATTTGAAAGTCTTACAGCACGCTGGCATTGTCGACTTTATAAATGCGAAGAAAAATTTCCGCGTTAATTTGTATTAGGGAAATGGTTAGCTGATTTAAGTGAATTGACGCACTGGTAGCGACCAATTAGCAATTAATGAATTTCAGACATTTCAGTTTATTTCAATTAAAAATATACAACAAGAAAATGCAACAATCGTAACTTCGATAAGTGTATAACTCACAGTGAAATGTATTAATTAATTTAAGAGCTTTCTCTGTTCTTTTGAAAAGCCTTCGAAGAAAATTTTCGGAAGGTACGGAAGTGGCGACAATTGTTAAATGTTTATAAGCATAATGAAATATAAGTGAGATTCATAAAACGTCGCCAAGTGGCATTTTTAGCGAAATGGAAATGTTGGGAACAAAGTTGTATGAACGACCTATCGCAACTCCGGATTGCAAATGTAAAATTTTTTAAAAATGCCGCGCGTTAGAGAAAAAGAAAAGTTTTTACAATTATATTTCGAAGCAGCTTTAACTGATACTTTTTCATGAAGTATTTGAAGACAATAAAAAACATTTGTTTCGCGACTTCGACTTTGCAATGATTGCCAGCTCAAATACTATGGCAATGTCGCAATTTTGTCGCAAGAAAGTTCCCATACAATAGTAATCAGCTGCGTTGCAAGGTGGCAAATTTTGCGTCAAATGCGACATGTGAAACAACTTTGCGACGTTTCATGAATCCCACTAATATAAAGTGTGCCAGCTAGCAATGACATTCTATTTCGGTACACATATTTGGCAATTGACTTTTATATTAACCCTTTTGAGTGCGGAATTATGAAGTTTTTTGATTTGAGTAAAAAATTACAAAAAAAAAAATGCCAACATTTAGCTGACAATGACACTGGTGACTATGTCAAGCCGGTGTACACCTATAACAGACAATGTCTTGCAGCGGTCATTTATAAAACGTCCATTACGGGATACTGTCGCTTGAATGTCATCAATGATCACTGCATGACAAAGTCATGCAGAGGCCATCAACGACCAAATTACAATTTCTATGAAAAAGTCGTGAACGACTTCCATATAAATGGAGCCGAAAGTCATTTAAGACATAAAATGGCCGTACAAGATACTTAAGTGACTAATGCATGACATTCGCTACGGGGCATATTTTAAAATAAAATCATTGGTTGAAAAAACCTAATTATATGCAGGAGTACTAATTATATTTATAATTGATTGCATAAACTATGACTTTTGAAATGCAATAAATTATGTTCTTACACAGGCGTATTCCTCATATGCTGGCTACCATTCTTCACTTGCAATGTGACGGATGCGATCTGTGCGATCATGGAAATAGACTGGCGACCAGGCGTGACCGCCTTCATACTCACCACTTGGTTGGGCTACATCAATAGTTTCGTCAACCCAATCATCTATACGATCTTCAATCAGGAATTTCGCAAAGCATTCAAAAAGATAATGCATTTAGGGTGATCGACGTTGGAACTTATCGAACGAATGTTTGCATGGGCCAGAGCCATTTCGCATTATGTTAAGCACAACCTTATTGCTATGATAAAATTTTCTACAAATTACCAAAAATATTCCATATACATAGTTAAATAAAATATGCAATAATTTCGGGGTGGATACATTTAAGCCACTAAACGAAAGACAGCAATTTTATAAAAGATAAAAACAAATCGTACATATGTACATCCGAAGGATCAATACTACAACTTTTAAGTACATACATATAATTAAGATAAAATCCTTACGAAACTAACTAAGAATAAACTGGAAAATACTCGTAACTAGACCGAATTGTGAGCTTTTGCTTTAGTTTGCTACCTGCATATGGGGTATTCCATGAGTAAGTGAATCAGTGTGTACAATTATAAACTTGCTTGTGAAACATGCAAGGCTTAGGGCCGTCTTCTCAAGTAAGCTGTAACTTTAAAGCTCACTTCATATTTAAAGACTGCATTAAAATTAATGCTTGTGCCTAAAGTAAAGCATTTTATTATCGGTTTTAAATTAGTTTACAACCAAGAAACATACGTACATCAAAAACCGATCATAGGAATGTTTAACTTTATAATATAATAATAATAATAGATTGGCGCTTACACATATATTAGTGTTTGGCCGAGCTTCTCCTCCGGTTTGTGGCGTGCGCCTTGATGTTGTCACACAAAGCGGAGGGACGTACAGTTTTACGCCGACTCCGAACGGCGATTGTATTTTTATGAGAAGCTGTTTTTCATGGCAGAAATACACTCGGAGGTTTGCCTTTGCCTGCCGAGGGACGACCGCTGTTAAGAAAAAACCTTTTTTCTATATTTTTTGCGATGTTGCTTTGACCAGGGTTTGAACCCAGGTGCTGCGGAGTGGAAGCGCGCACTGCTTACCACCACACCACAGCGGCCGACACTTAACTTTATACATAGCTTTATTTTTAATCCAACCTTTAAATATAAAGTGAGTTTTAAAGTTAAATGTTACTTCAGAAAACGGCCGTTGATGAATTAGTTCTTAATACCCCAAATCAACGTTTTTTTCGAAGAAAACATTTTGATATATGATTTTATTACACTCTAGATACCTCAGCAAAGTTAAAAATTATACAACTAATTAAATACGAGTACTATGTATGTACACATATTTTAATATAGAAGACTAAGCAAAATCATGATTTTATACATTTTTTTTTGTTTCGAAGGGGTTAGCAAATGATTCGATCTTCCATCCTCCCAAAGCATTAGTATTGCATTGAAGAAAATTAAGCATTTCAATTCAATGATAGAATGAAATAATTACGGTTCCTTATGTCCGACCCATGACAAAAAATTAGTTACTGCTTTAGGCTTTTTATAAAAATTCACAACTGTAGTGTTTTTTCACTATACCCCCTATTTCATTACAGTAAAGGTATACAAAATGTCCTTTCAAATTTTTATCCTTGAATATCCTTGAAAATTTCCAATATTTAATATGGCAAAAATTATACGTTAAGGACTAATAAATACAGAACCACATTCTCGAATGTCGTCTTTCTAACTTTATTAGTTGAGAGTAAAAAAATTTATTAGAAGAGTATTTGCAATACCTATTCGTCCTTGTGAACCGAAAGAAAAGGATTTTTAAGTTTCAAAATTTTTCTTTTTCGTTTGGTACCCATATTGTATTTCTGCATTGCACGGAATTAGAAAAAAAAACAGTTTTGAAATACTTCATATTCACGGTGCAGCGAACAAAGGTGGCGCCGTCAGACATACCGCTACTTTGGTTTTCTCGATTTTGGCAATTCTGGTATACAAGTAAACGACGCCCCAGAAACTTTAAATGCACTGAAATTCACTTATATCAGCACAAAAATCACAATTTTTTCACAGCAAATTTAGAAAAGCAAAAAAAAAAATAATAATTTGATAATTCTTGATTTAATACTTAAGTTTGAAAATTATATTTTTGCTTTTCAGTTTATTTGTATTATATTTCTTTAAACTTGGTTCATTTTTTTGGTAAACTGCTTTAAGTCAATCAAAGGTACAGTATTATTTTTTATGAAAGTAAAATCGAATGTTTAGCACAAATAATGGGTTTTGAATTCTTTTCCTAGGTATATGAGAAGATGGTAAAAAAATTAAATTGATTAAAAAAAAAGTTTTTTTTATAAAACAGGAATCGAAATTTTACAAACTGACCACTTTATTTTGTTGCCCAATAAGTTCTCTAATTGCTGTAAAAAAATCAGTCGAATGAATGATTGCTGAAATATTTCAAAAAGTGTAAAAGCCTGCATAAAAAATTGCTTGCAAATAACTCGCCAAAAAATTAAATTAGTGCAAAATCTTTGGTGCCAATATTGCACACCATGTTAACCTTCAAATCGGTAAATGAAATATAAAAAATCGAAAAGTAAATTTTGGGTGGCCCACTTGAGAAAACTTGACTCATAATAAAATATATAATCCAGAGAGAAATTTGAAGTAAATATACAAATTTTGCATATAATATATCTGCTACTATATATGTATGTAATACTTCTATATTGGCAGTAAGCTAATTTCCCAATGTGTATGCATTCCGAAATCAAAGCGAGACAGTCTAGTACGATTTTTGTGTATGTGTTGTGTACGTGAGTGCCGTTTTTGCCCTGCAGCAAAATTTAGAGACAGTCGGCAAAGCGCTAGTTCCGCCCTACAAATTTCAGAACTGTCTCTGAACTACTGCAAAAGGGATGCAGAGCTGGACGGTTGAAACTCATATGTTGCTAATTGCGCTGTCATCAATGTTACTCATCCTGGTCATGCGAAAGCTGACAAAAGATGCACAAATGTACTGTACTTACGGTGACCATCCGTTCTGTTTTTTGCAGGACCGTACTGTTATTTAAAGGTCTGTCCTGCGTAGCTTTTCAAAACAGAAAACCCCCAAAATGTTCTGATTTTTTCCAAGTGTCCTGCCTCTGTCCCGCATTTTCTTCGATATTTTAAAATTAACTTTTCCTAATCGAAATAAAAGCAGTGTAAGTTGGTTTTGAAGGTTCAACTAGTCAATGCGTTCTTAATATTGTACGGATATGGACAATGGGTGACGAGAAATTGAAGACCAGCATCAAATATATTGATAACACTGTTCTACAAATTTTGAGGTAATCGCTTAAGAAAAAAAAATATTTTCCAAGCCGATTTTCTTTTCAAACAAGCGTTTTCGTAATTTTTTCGAAAAAAGTGTTTTTGGTACATTTCGGGCCTATTCGTCAATGTCTCATGAAAAAATTATCCAATCGACATAAGCGACCTACAAAAATATATTACTTTGCCGATTTCCATGAAAATTATTAGTGTTACAAGCGAAAAATTGAAATTTCAATCATTTTCTTTTTACAGTAAATGAAACTCTGATGAGAAATGTAGATGTTACGGAACACAGTCTACACAAAAAATATATATTTTTGCAAAGAGCCCATCAATACCTTTCGAACTGTTGGTCGTTTCATGAGATATTGAGGAATAACTGAAAAAGTACTAAAAATACGTTTTTCGAACAAATCTCGAAAACACTTCTTTGAAACCATGGGTATTTTTTCGTGTTCAACGACCCAAAGTTTGCCTAAAAAAATTTGCTTTACAGAGGTTCATATTTCGTGTAAAGTAATATGTAATATGCCTTGTTATAATTATGTAAATATTCATTTATAAAAGATTAATACCAATGAAGCAAATGTGATTTATGTTTAAAGTTTAAAATTGGATTAATAATTAAGAAATATACCATCTTCGTTATTTAAATAGCGCATCCTTTTAATACTTAGTAGGTACAGTTTTCGTTTTGTTTGTTTAATATACATTAACTTTTTATAAAAATATAGCATATTCTACCTCTACATCCCATTTTAAAAATTTTTGAAAATGAAAAAAAATAAATATAGGGGCGACAATTTTTTTTGTTGACGGTGCTGCGCATTTTCTTCCATATAAAAATTTTGTCAAGCATACTTTGTATGGTAAAAAATCAAAAAAGGGTACGCTGCTATTCAAATGGCGAGGAATGTATATATGTAGTATATTTTTGTTATTTTTATACAACGCAATTATATGTAGGTACATTGCATTTTCAAAATATATTTATGGTCACCGTAACTATACTATATTCATTGGATTTTCTTAGACCATAAAACTAATAGCAAAATATAATCATAAAATTTAGTTAAATTACACTTAACAGCAAAAGTCTGCGTACACCATTTCTTTTTTAAATATTCACAATATATTGAGAGTTAAAATTTGTTTATTATTTTATAAAAAAAATTGATCATGTTTAAAACAAAATCATATAAACCGTGTTTTCAAACTTTATGCAAAACAAAGGAAAATTTAACGATTTGTCATCAAAATTTTGGACTTTTTAATCAGATTTAAAAAAAGATAAACAAAAGTGTGTAGTTATGCAGTATTTTTTTTTTAATTTCCAATGTTTTGCATTTAAATTATTTTTCGTTAAGTATGTCTCATATTCCATGAACAATTTTAATTCAAATTCCTAACTGTGCTGCAAACTTGATAGAACTCTAAAACTGTCTTCAAATTTCAAACTTTTTCATAATTAATTAAAATACTACTAAATTTCCAACGCAGTTAGAAACGTGAGTTTATATGTTTATGTTATAATACTTATGAGCCATCCTTAAATAAAAAAATTTACGAAAAATATTTAAAAAAAATACGAAAAATATTTGGCATGAAAGCCATTGTAAAAATTCAAAATTCTATATATTCTTATTAGATGCATACAGTATATGTATTACATTTCAATACATTTAATACAATTTAACGCTGAGTTATCACAAATAAGCATTCAATATATCACCGTTTTTTCTCATTTTATCACACGACTTAGTTTATATTTTTAATTATAGGTATCACAAAAATACTCTTTATACGTAACAAATATAAATTATTTTTAAGAATAACGGTTTTAGACAATGAAGGAATAACTGACACTTTATGCTCTTAATTTTAAAGTGCGGTTTGCCTCAAAAAGTAAGTTAGTTCAAAACAAAAAGCTCATTAATCATGAAATGAAGAATTTCTTATTTACAAAATTTTATGCGTGCTTATTTAATTACAGTATTTAAAGAAGAGGCGCTATACTATACTTCTTAGAACCTGCTCAAAACTAACCACATTTGTTCTAGCCCGGAGATGAGCCTTTTTGAACTATCTAGGAACTGTTGTTATATGAACTGTCTTAGAACCATCTAAGCCAGAGTCAGCTCAGAACAAGCTCAAAAGTTCTGCAGAGGGCGACAACTGTCACTTCGTAGGACATCGCCATGTTAAAAAAGACAGTTGAAAGCATTGAGTTGGGATAGACGAAGACCCAGTACTGTCCCTTTTCAGGCTAGCTCAGCGCAAG